TTGCCTAGACTAGTGATCTATCTATCAATAGCCCCTACAGATGCAGAAACGCCGACACGATAAATACCCCTCGGTGTCGAGGGACTAGCCTGATTTAGGACATACCTCCTCTTTTGAGTAGAAGAGTTTATATGCGAGGGGGAAAGACGACTTTCTTTCGATATGGGATTGCCTTAGCTAAAGGTCCTATTGGCGAAGAGAGGTAAAGGTTACTGGGTGGTCACTTTGGCACACGCAAGGCCAGCCGGAATCCTTCGAGTGGAGGGATGAGATCTGTAACAATTTCTATCCCTTACAAAACAAGTGACTAGTGGGTACCTCTTCCTTTGAGTGTAAGGGCTTATATGCGAGGGAGGAAGACGACTATCTTCCGATGTGGGATTGCCTTAGCTAAAAGGTCCTATTGGCGAAGAGAGGTAAAGGCTACAAGGTGGTCGCTTTGGCACACGCCAGGTCAACCAGAATCTTTCGAGTGAAAAAATGAGATCCGTAGCGATTTCTACCCCTTACAATATAAATCAATCACGTAATATAATATGTAAATATTGTTATCGTAGGTATTTTTTACATTAGTTTCCCATTTTGGTGTAGCGCCATATATGTGTGTGTGTATATATGGTTTGTGGTATAGCCCAAATTTTTATTTTTTTTAGTAAATCTTGTTGTCTTCTTTTTTTTTTTTTGGTGGACATTGGATTTTTTAACAAAGGGCATATACATTAAAATTGTGAAAGAGGGAATAAAAAGCGAATATCAATTATATATTATTTTTGTGTAAATTATTCTATACATTGGGAGGTTTATATATAGTACAACAGAAATGTGAACTTTTCCAGTCTAATTGATGTGGGACAAACATATATCAATAATGTTATACTGACCAAAATTAGGGATAAAAAAGAGTGACCAAATGACATGGTGGCTGACGTAGAGTGTCTACTGTGCAAATACTCTTCATGGCTGAATACCCACATGAAAATTTTCAGCCAAACGGAAGACAAAGAAAACAGATTTTTGTTCTGTTTTGGAAATGGAGTTATAATGTATGAGATTAATATTTTGGATTCGTTTATTGCAATGAGTTTTATCATTACATAAATAATAGAAGACTGAATAAAACAAAACACTTTAAGTTTTAGCTTATGTATTTTGTTATACATGATATTGGTAAAAATTAATTGGCATTATTTTTTGGTTGGCTTGTGAATAGACTTTTTTTTTTTTTTTTCAGAAAGTAAAATTTCAATTGATTAAAAAAAGTGTACAACAAAAGGGAATGACCCTTACAAAAATAACATGAGGCATTCCCGGTAACCATGTCAAGAAAAACCAAAAGATAACACAAGCCATGGGAAAAGAACAGTGGCCATGCAAGAACAAAAATAGTTGGTATTCCCTGGAGATTGAATTTAGAAGAAGTGGAGGTCTTGAGCTAAAACTTTCATCCAAAATCCTCAACACAGACCCAAACAATTAGAGAAATTCTTTGATCTCTCCCTCATATGTGGAAAAAATTATGTCAGAGTTGTTCAAAAAATTCACTAAAACAACAAACCTACAATAATTTGGACAAGTAATGGGACTGTGATTTTATTGTGTATGTGTTCAAAGAGGGTGCCGTTGTGAATGAATTCATAAACCAGTAATGGGACTTGTGTCTCCAAACAACAACCCAACAGCCTAACCACATTCCTGTGGTTGATTTTGGAGAGAATCACCACCTCATTGATGAACTGCTCAATTTGGGTTTGATCCACTATTTTTGACTTCTTGATGGCAACTATACTGTTGTCAGTTAAGCATCCTTTGTATACTGTGCCAAAACCTCCTTGTCCGATGATTCTGCTTTCTTCATAGTTGTTGGTTGCCACCTCAATCTCTTCTGCGTTGAAAATTTTAATTGTACCACTTGATCCTTCTGGTCCGGAGAGTTGCCGTTGTAACATAAAGCCACCATTTTGCTGAAAAAACTTTTCTTTGAACTTGATTAGTTTCTTTTTCTTCAGTTCCAAGTACAACCAAGAGCTACTCATGAGCAGCAGTACAATGCCGACAGAAATGCCTGTAATTGCATTTAAATAGCAATAGAAAACCAAAAGAAAGCTTATGCTTTCTGGGAAACAATTGTATACAACAACAAAGAAGGCGGCAATTTCTGTTGCTAAAATATGGAGGTTTCATCAATACCCTTTGTATAAAATTCAAGAATGATCAGCAATATCGTACTAAAAAGATGGATGCTGTAGGCCTACAATAACGGAAATTCAGTAGTCTTCTTTGAAAAATCAAAATAATTTTGCCATTAACTACTAGCATGCCCTTGCTTCTGTGAGTATTAAATTCTATCTTAACATTCTGCAAGGATGAAAAAGGGATTTAGCTTCCATTAAATGCTTAGGCTCAACAAGAAAAGTTCCTGTAAGCAATAACTTCCTCTAACTATGAATTATACGAATCCAGATCCACTCCAATATTTTGTTCCTCTATTTTTCTTCTTGGTAGAACATCCATCATATATTAACGAGAGATCTATTTATATACAATGGGTCTCACTTGAATTTACGATAGGTAACCTAAAGAAAAATGGAGAAAAAATATATTAGAAGGGATTTTGCTAAAAATGATACCGTTAAGATCATACCATGATTCCTGTTCAAGTGTTACAAAGAACCTCATCTCTGTCACATCTTGCTAATAGATATAGTAGGAAAAATGCAGCAACTAAACTCACCTACAGCAAACTTAATGACAAGTGACTGACCGCGGTCGGCAACGCAACCATCTCCATCTTTGCGTCCATTGCCACGGTACCCCTTGGGGCAGGTACATGTATAGTTCCCTATGGTATTATTACAGCGATTTGCAAATGTACAGTTATTGAGACTTGGATTTTGGCATTCATCAATGTCTGTATAACAATTGTAAGGTCACTCATCAAGAAAGCATAATTGTACATTGTGCATGTACGAGTAATCATTCTTAATAACAATAACGGTATAACGAACGCAAGATGATTTTTAGTATATTTTACTGTATCATAAATATGATAATAAAATATGATAAATATTAATAATATTTCTTAAGTAATGATGCAATGATATCAGTGACCTTTCCATTAACAAAAATTGAACAAATGAAATGCACAATCTTAATAATGTGGCTTCAATGCAATTATTAAATTAATTGTAAGTTTCAATGTTAAATAGAGCTCACAATCAATCCAATTATTGTATATCATTAGGTTTCTAAATAACGACCCCAAATAAGATCTGAGTAACATTTTCCTCTCGCAAAACACAACCCCACATCCTAAGAGACCAAAAAAAAAAAAGAAGTGGTGGGAATGGCTTGTATATCCAAACGGAACGATGCAGAGGAGATGAAATCTGGAACTCGTCTTGGAGAAGGAGATCGACTCATCTTCCATCATTTGAAGCAAGTAGCGAACACGCCGAGCAGAGGAAAGCACAGATCCGATCACTAGTCAGGCGGTCACAGTTCGAGTTTCAAGTCTTTCGACAGTTTGAACACTTGAACTTGATCTAAGTTCTAAAACCCACCTCAAGAACCAGATCTGGTGTACAAGTGCATTTTTTAGTTTTTTTTTTTGAAAGATGTGTGTGCAGGATCTTGCACAATATAAACACGAGAACAGATCTCTCCTGTGGTGAACTCGAGTCAGTCAATTGAATGGTCAATCTTGCTATTTGGAACAGGCTGAGATCCGTTGGTGGCCTGGAAAGGTAATGGGTGGCTTTTGTGGATCAAAGGAGCGGTTCAGTAAGGTTGAGGGAGGTTTCTGGAAAAGAGAAAGACAAGTTAGAAGGGCACCAGAGTGTTTTCCGGCGTATCCCCTCCGATGATCAAGTTAGTTTTTGAGAGAGGGGAAGAAGAAAACACTTGAGTATAGGTTTGAGAAAAGGTTTTTCGTTGCATACCCTCTTGCCTTTTGCGAGGAGTATTTATATTTCAAAAACTCATGATTGCTGTCAATGTGTTCAGTAGGTGATCATTAGATACGGGCAACGTGCGCACTGATTCCTATGAAGAATGTCTTCTCTCTTAACTGTTCGGGACCCCGAGCAATCAATGCAGCGTCATCGGCCTACCGAATGTTTAATGAGTTCCTCCCGGCAAGAGTGTAATAAATGCCCAATATCAGGGACATTTATTACATTTATCTTCTGAGCCTTACCGCATTAAATGTTGTATCATCAAGAAAATGACCTAATTAAATGCTTGCTTTCCCAAGTTGTGTGTCAGCAAGGACATCCGGTCTTTTTTGTCTCTGATGTGACACAATATGCCACGCACCCTTTCGCCATTGACTGCGTTTTTTGCCTTCATGTGCCTTCTAACACCAATTGTGTAAGACGAGGTCATGATAGCTAACTTAGTCTAGCCTAGGCTAGTGACCTGTACATCAATAGCCTCTGCAGGAGCAGAGAATGTCATCCTGGACGAGTACATCTGGGAACCGAGAGGAGGTACATGTGGGGGCCGATGTACCCCATATCCGACCGAGGGATACGTGTCGATACGTAACGTACTAGATATCATTGATCCCTATGACCAGTACCTCGGGGGAGAGGGACTTGTGAACCGACGGGTACGTGTCGTGATCACAATAACAAGAATTTACTGACGCCGAGGACACATGTCTTCATCTTGGAGTATTTTAAAAATGTCCCATCAAAAGATTTTCTAAATCTAAACCATGTATTTGAGTGAAGGTCGATGAGAGAAGTTGGCTGAATTGGGTTTCGACTGTGAAATTTTTTAATTTTTTCTATCTGTTATATCAGACTATAATGAAATCGGAGGACGCCCTTACTATTACGTAATGGCTGTTACACATGGTAATGATGGATTTTCAAAACCTGAATCATAGTAATATATAAATCCCACCAGGAGGATGGAAAAATAAGTAACATGATTAATATCATTGCAATCTAATAGCTTAGATTTGTAGAATAGATGGTGGTGGTTCAACAGAGTACCTTGACAACCATTGATGAGGTATGGGTTACCGTCGTACCCAGCCAAGCAGTGACAGAGATACCCAGAAGTAGTACTGGGTTCGTAACACTTCGAATTGTTTTTACAGGCATAACTAGTGAAGTTCATTTGAGCCATCTCACAAGTCTCATTTCCAATGGTCCAATCAACCAGCAGAGGAAGCTTCTGTACATTCTGCAGTTCGCGAAGATAGTTTGAGGTGAAGTTGAACTCATTTTCTTGGATGACAAAGGCATAGCTGCCTGAATTGAAGTCTGACACCTTTGCATAATTGTAATAGCTACTTAAATCCATTGTGATGGACCATACCCCTTTAGGGATGCGTGTCTGGCAACAGCCAACACCGGAACAAGAACCATTATCAACATTATCTATGCTGTTACATATGGACATGCAACCTGTCATACTGTAATTCTCATTTCGTCGGTCGAATGTAACAATGGCATAAGTGTCACAGCCAACTGCTGTGAACTTATTGGTATCAGATATGATGAATTTGGACAGACTAAGCCAAGGCTCGTTATTGTACACTTGGACATGATCACGCTGACGATAAAGATCACGGGCTATAAACTGCCAGATTTGCAACTGACCCCGGAGGAGAGAGATTTCTGTAACATTTATCGTACTGTTAGTTAAAAATGCTTTTGGAGGGGTGAAAGAGCTGTTACAGGTGATGAGGAACTGTTCATTGAGATAACAGCCTTTAGTCGTCCCAAATGGGTATGGGATGCTTACATTCCCGCAGCTATTGGGGCAGCCAGGCTTGGCGATAACTGTTGTCGTTCGATTAGCAGTTGATGTGGAGGACAACACCAATGCAAGAGTGAATTGCACTAGCCTCACATGAAAGCCCATTGTCACAAATTTCTCCTGCTGGTAGAAGTTTTTTTTCGAATAGAACAATATCGTGTGCGCTTTGGTCAGTTTGTAGGCACTCCGAGGAAGAAAAGGTCTGCTCAGTGGGACATGGTTACAGAAATGTTCTTACATTAATAAACTGTAGATAGTCAACCGATTGACAGATATCAATATTTCAACAATCAGAATAAAATGACTTTAAACAAAGTTTCATAAAATAATCAAAGAAAATTTGGAGGTGGAACTTCTTATATAGATTTATTTGGATTCAAGTCCGTTAAATTTATTTGTTATAAAGTCTATTTTTTGTCAATTTTATCGATCTATCCATTTCATTTAAAAGTAAAGTAAAATTAAAAATTAAAAACATCTAAATTTTAGGGGTTTGATTAACAATAAAAAATTTTCTCTCTCAGATATATATATACAGTAATATTAAAAATAAAAAATAGTATCATTTAAATATAAAAAAAATTATCATTTAGACAAAAAAAATAATACCATTTAAATACAAAAAAATAGTAACATTTAATATTAATATTTAAAAAAAATAACAATAGTAACATGTTTAACAATAATTATTTCTCTCATATCTATCTATATCTATATATAGAATAAGATTATATATATATATATATAGTAATGTTAAAAATAAAAAATAGTCAAATTCAAATGCAAAAAATAGTATCATTCAAACACAAAAAAATAGTAATATTCAAAAAAAAAAATAGTAACATTGAATATTAATATTTAGGAAAATAATAGTAATAACTTGTTCAACAAAAAATAGTAATATGCTCAAAATAATAGTAACATGAACAGTAATATAATAAAAAATATAGTAACATGAAACATTTAAGCCTAAATAATAATAATATTTTAAAAAAACATTGAACATATAATCGGCATGATTGTGAATAGACGAGAAAACAGTAACAAAAAAAAAATAGTAAACACGACGATGATGTTGCCATAATGCATATCGATGATGGTCACTACAACTTGAGAAATGAAGTGATAAAGGCTCGGAATTTCGGACTTGTTAGAGAGAGAAATGTGAGATTGAGATTGAGATGCAAAAATATTTAGCAGATTTTTATATTCAACTTTTATTGACATATTTTTTTTAAATAGATAGTATAATTAATTTTAACAAAGTGTACTACCAAATATAATGGTAAGATAGAATGTTATTAAATTTAATATTAATATAATCAATGAAAAGAAACAGAATTATAAATAAAAAAACATAAGTTAAATATCATAGAATTAAATGGTGCTTTTTGTTGCCGTAAACAATATAAATAAATTATTAACAAACCCAAATGACATTTAAAAAATTTTAAATTTGAATTTTAAAATAAAAATGGGCTTAATTGAAAATATATTTTAAAATTTTATGTTAAATAATAGACTTGATTAAATTTTCATAAAATGAGGACCTAAAATGGCAATTAATTTAATGACTATGCCATTGACCCGCGCCCAATGCGCGTGATATTTATGAAACTCTTTCTTATGGTTTGGGAGGATTAATGAAAGAGGTGTCACAGATTATTAGAAAGTCTTGGTCTAGATAACGACCTTCACTCGTGCCTCATGGTTTGGGATATCCTTTTGCCCATTCATCACTCAGTGGTGGGTCGTGGTTGACCTACACAATTACTTTCTCAGATATATATTCTAAATAAATATGAATCGGGTAATTTTTTATAGACTAAATTTGTGCGCTAAAATTTGTACTAAATCAACTGCAACTGTTAGATCAGTGATGAGACTCATTGATCCATCGGCTCAAGTTGTATGATGCAAATTTTAGTACACAAATTTAGTGCACACAATATTACTCTTATAAAAAAATATTATTTATATATAATTTAAGAACTTACTTTGTGGAACAAATTTTAGAAAGGAGTGGATTTCATTTATATTCAGACTTCTTGTTGATTTACTGAATTAGATCATCATTTGCGAGACTTCAAGAAAAGTTCACAAGCATTATTAATTTAACAATTAAATAAATTTAATCAATAAATTTGGTTTAAGTATAATTACACAGTAACTTTTTTGTGACTCAATTTCCCATGCAACGCTATGTACAGTTCAAAGTAACTTCATTTTTATTTCTCTTCTTTTTTTTTTTTTTCGGTCTCCTATGTAAATATTTATGTGATTTTTGGAAGTCGGTACACCTAATTAGACTTATTTGACAAAAAGTATATATTAAAAAATAGTTTAGAAAAAGGTACACTAGTTAGATACAAAGACATAAATGCCCATTTTAGGAAAAATGGTGCATTAAATATCTCCTAGTTTTATGAGAGAATTTTAATATTTAAAGTACATTGATTCATGTGTATTTGTTAATATATATATATATATATATATATATATATATATATATATATAAAGTGTAACATTAAAAATGTAAAGTGTTAAGTATTACCTTATTTCTCACCTTACTTAATGAAAAGTGTAAAATATTACATGTTAACATTGAAAGTGTAACAATTTCACACTTTCTCAATTAATTAGCATTTTTAATATAAGATGAAACATGTATATTCTGTTTGTATAACACTTTAGGTAATTTCTCTCATTACCTTGTATAAATAGCTTGTTACATTGTTATTGCTATACTGTTATTATTACTTTCAATATTACCTTATAACATTTTACACTTTCCATTAAGAAATGTGAGACATAAGATAATATTTTACACTTTACACTTTCAATGTTACATTTTACACACACACACACACACACACACACACACACATATATATATATAGTAACAAATACACATGAATCAAGGCGCATTAAATACTAAAGTTCTCCCATAAAAATAAGAGATATTTAATACACCACTTTCCGAAGAACATATACATGGATCAATGGAGGACAAAAATATCACAAAAAATTAGACATATTTAAATTGTGTATTTAGATACAAATAAGTATCAAAATTAAGGATTTAATTACCTTATATTTTTTAGTGTGTACTTTTTATTAAATAAGTCTAATTTGGTGTACCATTTTACAATTTACCCAATATTTATCATATAATCACCTTTAGTTTTGACTCTCTTGTCATATATAATTGAGACCTTATCAAATACCCCTTTAACTCCTGTTTCTTGCTATTTGGTCAATAAATTTAAAGAAACATTTGTTTTTTGTCTATATCTCTTTTACCCTCTTGTTTTTACCTAATTAGGATTTATGGATTTCCTTAGTATACACTATACCATCTCTTCAACGTCAAATAAGTTTGCTAAATTGTTCTTAATAAGTCTGCTAATCACACACTGAGTGTCACATCTCTCTACACTAAACAACTTATTCGATGTGAAAATCCTCTTCTTTGAACTTTCAAAATAATAATTTGAGTTATACAGTTATAAAAGTAGAATAACAGTTGATATTAATTTAATTTCTATCTAATTTTATTTAACATAACATCATATATTACAAAAAAAAAAAATTTCTTGCCCAAAACACATCATCTTCTCTACTCAACTTTCAATAATGTCAAACAATTCAATCAATACATTCATTAATGACAAATAACTCCACTAATCTACACTAATTTTTCACTTCTTTTTTTTCTTACCTCTTTTTCTTTTGTCCACTTTAATTTTAAATATTTTTTTAAATAAATAAATAAATTATTATTCAAAAATAAATATTACATGATCAATATTTAATTTTTACTATTATGATAACTATACTATGTTTTGTTGCTTGTGATAAAAATAAGACAATTATTCAAATATGTTGTCTTTTTTTTTGGATTTTTTGGAAGTCGGTACACCTAATTAGACTTATTTGACAAAAAATATATAGAACAAAATAATTTGAAAAAAAGTACACAGCAGAAATACAAAGACATAAATGTCTATTTTAGGGTCATTTAATTGAAAATCTCTTATCTTTAATGCACCTTAATTCATGCGTGTTGTTAATAAATATATATATACTTGTTGTTGAATCTCTTATCTAAATTTTGAATTATCTTTAATGCACCTTGATTCATGCATATTTTTTTTTTAAAAGTGATTTTGTTTTCAAATTATATTTAATGCACCTTGATTCATGCGTTTTTTTTTTTTTTGGAAAGTGGTTTTACTTTCAAATTAATTTAATATCCAAATAGTGTAACAATAACAGTATAACAAAAATAGTGTTCAGTAGTTTTGTGCATATGGTAACAAATTCAAAACAGAGATGTATTATTTTGAATAAAATTATATGAAACTATATGTTTGACAAAATGTAATAGTACAATTTTTTGTGTAAATAGCTTGTTACACTGTTATTGTTATACTATTACACTATTCAGATATTAAATTAATTTAAAAATAAAACCATTTTCCAAAAAAAAAAAAAAGCATGAATCAATGTGCATTAAATATAATTTGAAAACAAAATCACTTTCCAAAAAAATAGACACATGAATCAATGTGCATTAAACTATGAACCAAGGTGTATTATACGTATATATATACGAAACTATATTAGTCGGTGAATTTCTATTGACGTGGAAATAGAAACTATGACGCCATAAAAACTGGTAGTCTTCTAAACCAAACAATCACTACAAGAATAAGGGTTTTTTGTGACAATTTATTTTTGGTGGCATTGTTTGTTGTCACAAAAGATGTATTTGAGACAATTTTTTGTAGTAGTTGTGTTTGTCAATACAAAAAGCGTATTTGTGTTGATATTTGTGACAACTATTTTTTCTGCCATAAAAAATGTCATAAACTCAAAAGAAATTTTTGTATTTGAGACAGTTGTTTTTCGTGCCTCAAATAATATTTTATAAATTCAAAAGAATTTTTTATATTTATGACAACTATTTTTCCTGTCGTATATAATATTTCATAAAACATTAAAATATTATTTTAGATAAAAAAAATGGCTTATAGTTTAAAGACGAAAAACTCTAAAAAAATTTGTATTAGCCACAACTATTTTCATCTTACAAGTAATAT